TATCTTGTATACAAGGTAACAAATAAATAGATAAAAAATAATAATGTTAAATAAATCTACATATTTAATATTCTCCCTAAAGCGTAGATAAAAAACTCCAATTGTTCAGAATTAACTACTGGAAAGTAACATACATAATTGTTAATAAAACATTTAATACCCTAAACTTGGATTTATCTAATTTTTTATTTGTCAAAATTAAAAAAACACACACATATATATATATAAGGTAAGATAGAAGAAGTAAAAAAAAAAACAGTTGACACCCGAAAGTTTAATTAAATCTCTTAAAGAAAATATTCATCATAAAAGCTTGAAATGATAAAAAGCTCATTAAGAAGTATTTATTGTTTATAGGATCATTAATTAATTAATAAAAGAAAATCAATTTACTTATATATAATTAGGTTTGTGTACTTCAGGTAATATCTGTAATTCAGATGTGTATAATAATTATAAATATCTATATATTAAATTTAATGTTATATTGTATATTATATAATCTTGAATTTAAAGTATATAATACTAGTATTTTTGCAGTCTCATGATATTCAGAAGTATTTGAAATACCATTCTTTAGTTAATATAATTTATCCGTTATCTGCATGGATAACAACCGTACTACATTTTGTTAGGAATGATTAGATCTGCACTAATGAGAATGATGATTATGGCCATCGATTATCATATGTAACGAAATAAAAATAGTAATGCAAATTCAATAATTTACAACTAATTCAATTCAATTTTGTATGGAATTTAAAAATAATATTAAAAAAAAATTAATTAAATATCTATTGAAATTGATCATCTAACATTGCAAAATATATGAGGAAAGTAAGTCTCCAGCAATAGGTTTCTTTTATTTTATTTTAATTAAACATATTGTAGATCACTTGATTTTTTTTTTTTCAATAATTAAAGAAAATACGGTTTTCATTTTTTATAAACAAATAAATTTTTAATTTTACCACAACAAACATGTATAGTATTATTAAAATTTAATAAATTTTTAATACCCAATAAAAATGTCATAAATCCATTTAAGTATAAATAGTAATTAAAGACCCAATAAAATATTACTTTGAATTATTTTCCACAAAAACGAATAAAAATATTTTTTTATTTATTGCTTGTCATTTAAAAGGTATTTTATTTTTTTCAACATATTTCAGATAATTTATTTTATGCTGCATTCAACTTCATTACATATTTATTGTTTTATAAACGTCAACATAATTAATAAAGGCAATAAGATTTTGCAAAGTACACAATGTTCGAAATAATTTTCGTATTTAATTTTTAGTTTTAGTTATTATCGATGTAGACATAATGCCCATGCACTCAGACCTGTTGGTCCATTGTGCGCACCTCATACTGAATTGTCTTGATTCGGTTTACCCACCTAATTTTCGTTTTTAATATAACTATCAATTAATAAAATTAAAAATGCTACAAAGTATATTTTCAAAATATTGAGTTTTAATAACGTTATCAATATTGAAAATCATCACATTTTTGAACATACAGAATAAATCTTATCCAACCATCATTTGAATTTAGTGAACAGTAAAAATATTAAATGATATTTGTCATTTCAAGTTAATTGCTAAATAATATAGTCCATACAACATTTTGAAAAAATAATGTGTATATTGTTTAAAGTAAATTTAGGAAACGTATTAGTAGTGTATAGACTTAAGCTATATGTAAGTTATACGGTTACTGTTGCATTTCTAAAAAAACTAAAGCTTAAGATAATATTACTTGAAATAATAGTATATTCTCAATGAAATATTTAGTACTGACATACATATTTTATATGAAATAAAATCAAAATTAGGTGATAACCATTGTAAAAAAATTTTCTTCATCGCTCTTTGTCAGGCATGATAGATTTATATTAATCATTTTTTATCGCAGCTGTACATCACGCAAAAAATTAACGTAGTGTACATCCATGAATCATTTTGTACAGTCGTGCGGCTAAAAACTCCTTTGGCGTTTTGGCACATTTTTGACCTTGCTCTTAAAACAAAGGAAGTGTAAAATTAATGGTAATGATCTAATTAGTTGTAGTCGCACGTATATTGGGTTAGCAAGTCGTTTATAAATTTTCTCACGTGATAGTTAACCTTTTCATCAGCATTTCCAACTGGGAGAAGCGTGTGGGTCGTAAAATTAATTGTACCAATTTAATTATCGATCGCACTATTGATTAAAATTAGGAATGTTGATTCTTCACAGCATTAGGGTCATGGAAAACTATAAGATACAGGAGTACTTAATACATTCCACGAATTAACATTAAATCAAACAGTGAAATATTTTACTTGGCTATTAAAACATTTGAAGTGCCCAATGTTTAATCATAACTGGAAATAAAAATAAAAATTTGATTTTAAATTTTTCAATCCAATTCAACAAATTGCCATTTTTGTATTAATTGTTCTATTATCAATTTGACTATTGTGAAGTATTTTTTTTAATGACAATTAAAAAATTGTACCTTCATGTAACTGGTATTATCCTTATACAAAAATTCGAGTATGTTTATAGTTTTTAATAAGTAATTATATATATGATCTTAGCACGAAATGTAAATGACATAAAACCGGTTGCCAAACGTTTCAGAACCCACTGGTTCATAAAAAAACTTTATCTGAGCTACTCAAACAACAGATGATACGCTCTGATTAAAAAAATTATTTAATGGCTGAAAGTGTCATAAAAATACAATTAATACGTCAGTTAAAATCTAACTAAAAAAAATTTTACTGCTTCATGTTTTCTGTTTAATTACTTCAATATTTTATTATATTAGACTAAAACGTTACAATTTATTTGTTTATAACATTTTTCATAAAATTACATAAATGTAAGAAACACAAGCACTCATCCAAGAAAACAAAAAGTATAAAATAAATCAATGGGACGTTTAAATGTATGAAATACACGTTTTAAATTGCCTTTTGAGATGTTACTTTTAATTTGAATACACGACATGGCGTGTATTTCAATTAAAAATACACAAACATAGCTTACCGTATAGCAAATTATGTACAACATAGAAATATTTTCATGTCAACATTAACACATAAATTTAAATCAAATATATATAAACTAATTATATTTTGATGAATATTTAGGACACACAACAAGAAAAGAACATTTATATATATTTAAATACTTGACAGATAAGTTAATATATTTAATAAAATGAAAATAATTTCATCAAACGCTATGTATTTCATATAAATATTTTGATTTCGATAAAATACAAATTGCAGGCGTGCTAGAAGTTCTACTATAAAAGCAACCAATAATTTTTATAGTCTAAAGTTCTGTTCACTGAAATCACGAAAATTATGTATAATTTAAATATTTAAAGCAAAAACGTCTTATGTTTTTTTTTTTAAATAGAAACTCAAGTTGAAAATGTTTAGATAATATAACGCCAATTAAGTCCAATATAAATTATTAAGTCAATTTATGTTCATAAAAACTAATTATAAAAATCTCTAAGCGCACACATTGAGCAATACAAGTTATCATATTTAGTTATTCAATTGATATCTAAATCAGTTGTTTATCTTAATATATACAAATTGAAGTATTCCAAAAAGTTATTACATTAGAACATTTAAGATTACCACAACATTGAAAAAATTCGCCAACGATCGTTACGATACTATTTTACTTATCAGTTACACATTAATAGTATGTAGGAAAATGAACTACACTACTATTAAAGTTTCAAAAATGTTTTCATTTAACTATCAATCAAGTTTACAGCGTTTGCCAGTTTAAAATGAGTTGAATTCAACCCAATAAAAAGTTAAGTATTAATGGAATAAGTGCATAATAATTATAAACACATCACAGAAATGACGTATAAGTAATAAAATGTTTGACTAGGCGTGTTCGTAGCTGAATATTAAAAACGTGCAAATTACTGAAAACAATAATTTTGTGGTCACGTTCTGAGAGAACAATTAGTGTAATAACTTTTTTGCAGAGAATCTTTATCGTGCGCATGACTTTCAAAGTGGAAAACAACCCATCAATTCCATACTACCGTAACTGTATTAATATTTGGAAGTTGTTAAAAAAAATTATTTGAAAACTATAGATATGGTATGGTGGGCTCTACAAGTATAATGTGATTTATCAACACTTAATGCTTATAGAACCAATGAGACTTATCTATCTATCTTCTACTCCGGATAGATGATGACGGACTAGAACCCGCCACAAATATTGAGAGTTTACCGGTCATTCTCTTCCTATTTACTTTAATGTGCTGCGGCTAGAAAAAGTAAAGCGATTAAAGAGTGTCAGTACGGGAGCAGTTAGACATGAAATAAAAATATCCCACTACTTGTATTGTTTGTGTGATAAGTTCAAAAAATTCCCAAATAATAATAAATTAAGACAAAATAAAAAAGAATAGATTGTTACAGTCTACTTAATGAAATATTTTAGTAATTTAATAAATAATCAAAACGAATTATAAAAATAATCTGCATTTTATTTTTTAAATCATAAAATTAATTTTAATTCAATATTATTATGTTTTTGACAGCAAACTTAACAGATGACACATAAGGAAAAATGCAGAGCTAATAGAAACTACTATAGTACCATTATTAACAAGCTACAATAAAAGCCAAAGACTCCCATGTTTAGACACGCGAAGTAGAAAACTGATAATGCAAATGTAAGAGCACCCCAATTGAATGGCAACTACAGACCCGAAAGAAGACCAACAATAAGATGGTGTAATAAAAGATTAGAAAATAAAAGATGTGACGGATTGCGAAGATAAAATTCACAATCGGGAAGATTAGAGAAAAATGTTCAAATCAAAGAAACAAAATTTCTTAAAGAATTGTAAAGCCAAAGAAGAAAATTATTAAGCCAACAATATTACATAACTATAACCAAAAAGCGTTAATATAGGATTTTTCGACTAAAAACTTACAAAAGAAAAGAAAAATCTAGGAAAATGAGATTAANGTACAATTATCACATGTTGCAACGTGTCTGGAATGTTTCTTACAAACAAATTGTTCGCAGTTACAACATCTGACCGTTGTACGATTGCACTTTTTTCCGCCACAGATGTGACAAGGTCCAGATTTTTTATCTGTTTCTGTAGCACTTATTGTTTGAGGTTGGTGATGATATTTGTCCAGAAATATTTTGATGTCTTTAGGAAGAGTGTTTATCTGAGCTCTTATTTTCAAATGAGTCTCTAAAAGTTCAAACCCTAAGTCACTTAGGAATTCACGGCGACGTTTAGTGGATAGGTTATTATGGTAAAATACTACCTGAGAATTTATACCAGCCAAATCTAAAAAACTAAAAAAAATTCTTAGGGGCCATCTCCGTGTTTGCCGTGCAGTTGAGTACGCAGCGCACATCTTATCCACCGTATCTACACCTCCTTTAGTAGCATTGTAGTTGATATTTATCACTGGTTTACCGGTCTTTTCATCAATACCTTCGCAGTCATGCATTGTTGATAAAAGCAAGACACATTTTTTTCGTTTGGTTTGGATAGAGGCAAGTATTTTATCGTATTGAAATCCATATAAGCATGAACCAATTTCTCGTGACTTCGTTACAAATTGAGGAGGTATCTCTCTTTTGTTGGCTTTGAGAGTTCCAATCATAGTTAATCCATTTTTTATTAAGTTATCAGCTAATGGAATGCTAGTATAGTAATTGTCCATTGTAATATTTCTATTAGAATGTTGAATATTTTGGGAAAGTCTTTGAACAATATCGTAGGGTTTATTAGATACATCGTAAGGTCCTGGCCTCTGTTTTCCACAGTACACTTCAAAATTTGATGTATAAAAAGTTTTACTATCACACAGCCCATAAAATTTCAGTCCGTATTTGGCTGGTTTTTGCGGCATATATTGAACGAAACCACATCGTCCTCTAAATGCGAATAACATCTCATCAATTGTTGTGAACTCGCTAAGGCTATAATTATTTCTACAGTTGTCCAAAAATATTTTGTATACACATCTAATAGCAGCAAGTTTGTCAGTTTTTTCTCTCTTCGCTCTAGTAGACAAATCATCAAACCTGATTGTTCGAAGTAAGAAAAGAAATCGCTTGTAACTAAATGTTGCTCTTGTGATCAACATACCTGTTCCATCATCTTTCCACAATTCTTTACAGTTTGCACGATTTCCGTGCTTCACACCGATAAGGAACAATATACCAAAAACAGCCATAATTTCATCACGAGACGTGTCTTTGCAATCTCTATCTCTAGAGTATTTTACTTGTGCTCTTTTTGTAGCAATAAAAGTATTTGTACATTCGACAATAATATCAATCAAATCTAGGTTTATAAATTTGAGAAATGCATCAATAGGTCTCCGAGTATCTTTGCAAATTCGAGTTGGACCAGGAGTAAATTTTATAATATTTTTCGCTGGTACTCTTGAACGTTTTTGCACGGGGGACTTAGAACTCCAAATGGTTTCACCATCTTTTCCAATAAAAAATACAAAATCGTTCTCTGTATCATCAACCTCCATGGTGTCTACATCCTCTACTGAAACTTCTGAGCCACTGTCATACTCATTTACCTCTACAGCCTCAAGTTCACCTTCAACATCAGAGCCGTCGATATCTTGTGTTTCTTGAACCTGTCCTTGCCCTTCATCATCAGATTGTTCAAGAATAAGCCTAATCTCTTCCTCAGAATAGTTTTGTTTCGCCATAAGTAATAAATAAATACATATATTTAAATTATGAATAAATATAATAAAAAAAGTCAAACTAACTTGTAATAAAATAATTTGCAATAGTTTCTATCAAAATTTGAATAATAAAAATACTTACATTAGTGAGCGCGTGCAGAACGGAATGCTGCCGAATGAATTCTATCACGTTAAATCTTCACTGGTGACTGATAGTATGGAGGAAAATAATAATTGATATATTGATAATATTACTAGTGTTGCCAACTACAGGTACTGAAATTATCTAGCCTTTCAAAAATACATACTAGTATTTATCACGAAAAAACTAATTTGGCAGCACACAGTGCTGCTACGCGTCCACCGGAAGGTTAATATTACATATGTTGTTTTCATTATACAATTTTACGATTAATTAACTATATCACTTAAAAATAAAATTAATTTGTATAGACAAAATTATNATATTACATAATATGTTGTTTTCATTATACAATTTTACGATTAATTAACTATATCACTTAAAAATAAAATTAATTTGTATAGACAAAATTATAATAGAAATGAATAACTTTATAAATATCATTAAATTAAGTAGAAATATAAATTAAAACTGTGTAAGAAATTGAGCGAATGCTTCTAAACAAGAATAATGAAATTTAATCGATATAAAATTTAATGAATTTCACTAGAGCAATGTTCTTTAGTATAATGCTTGAATAAATCGTATAACTTAATTGTTGAAATTCTGCAATTATTTTTAAATTGAAAATATTGTTTACAAGTTTACATAATTTTGGCTCAGATATTTTAGAAATATTAAAATCTGAAAAAAAATCAATTGTATTGTTCAGGAAAATATCCGGTAAAATTTTTAAAAACCAATAGAACAAGTGAAAAAATTACTTTTAGTACAACAAATAGTTTTACCATTGAAAGTTCAATTAATTGTTAAAGCTGCATATCTTATAAAACTTTTTTGAGTCCGGCGTATGTTACAGGCTTTTACAGTGAATCTTTCACCCCAATCAAAGAAAGTAATCATAAATACTTCTTCTCCGTTATCATCAATATCAACGACATTACACACACTACTGTACCATTTTTCATCACCTAATAATAAAAAAATAAGAATATTAGCAAATTCTCTTTTGGCTATAAATTTTAACTCAAATAACCCATTATTTGATGATAATATACTGCAATTTACTAGTTTATTGTCTCAAAATTTTTAATATTGAATAAAATTAATAAACTCATATTCTAATGAATTCATAAAATACAGTAGTTTATAAATATAAATTTAAAATATTGTTTATTGTATTTAACGATGCATAGTTCATTTATTTGCGGAACGTAAATGTCCTGTTTCTATAATAAGAATCTATACATTTTTCCAGTGATCTAAACGTTCTGGGTTCATTTGCTTTAACCATGATTAAATACTATTCGGAAACATAAGTCAATTTCAGGATATATCTATGATTTACAGCTAAATTGAAATTTTTTATAGTTAATTTATTTGGTATTGTATCACCTCTAACAATGGTTAAAAAACGTTGCTCGTCATAAGCATTTTCTTGCAAGACATTAAAAAAAATTAGTTTTAGTTGCTAGGTGTGTGCGTTTATATACAATAGCACATATTAATTTTTTTTTTTCAAAATTTATTAAATATAAGTAAAAAAAACTCAATTTAAAAGTTTTACTGTCTGATTTTATAATAAATATTAGCAAATATTATTACATACATTTGTAAATAGTGCAAAGGCCAATTTTTCTGACACAACTCCTGGCTCAATATTTTTAATTTTCAAGTTAAAAAATCACGTTTTTCCCTCGACAATGAAAAAGTATATTTCGATTCAAAATCGTTTGCCAGTAAATCTTCAAAACCAAATGTATGAACACATTTAAGTTCTTTATCTAACAACAACAATACATTTACTATCTCAGACGGAACATTTGGTGCATTATTCAAATCAGAATCTACCAGCGAAAACCAACACAATACTCTTCTATGAGACCTTCATACAACAAGGAGACATTGTGCTAAAAAAAATATAAATTGAATTTTTAAAATAAATTTAAAATTACATAATTTTAAAACAAAATAAACAAGTTTTTACTATTTCAGAAGACACAACTGGTGTTATTTCTGAACCGAAATCTACCATTTGAGAATCATTGCCATCGTGTCTCATTAAACCGTTATTCCACCTCCATCAAAAAAATTTCAATTTTAATTAATAAATGTTATTTATTTATAAAGTTATATATTATTTATATTGCTTATATTTTAAAATTATGTTGGAAAACATTTAACTACTGATTTTATAGACTATAGAATAATTAATAATTTGTACTCATTATGCAAAGCCGTTATAAGGATTGATCTAATTTTATTCCATATATTTTCACGTGTAAAAACTACAAGAAGTTATCATTAAAAGTAAAAATTTCTTAAATATGTTATTATTTTTTACTAATAAAAATGTATTGTTATAAATTTGTGTTAATAAATATATTTAGTACTTACACAATAAACACACGGAATCTATCATTTCATTCATATATTATTTTTTAAGTCTTCTGAAGTGTTTGGTTCTACATCATCTTTTACTTCCAAATCAAATTGATTTCCTGTTAAAAAATGTGTTGTTTTTATAATTGTAAAACCTGAATAAACTTCATGGTTAGATTAAAATTATACTTACACTGTATAAACGATAATAACATATAAAAGAGCCCTCAAAACTGTAACGATAAATAACAAAATTTCAATATGAATTAATAAATGTTTTTTATTTATAGAGTTATATATTATTTATATTGCTTATATTTTAAAATTATGTTGGAAAACATTTAACTACTGATTTTATAGACTATAGAATTATTAATAATTTGTACTCATTATGAAAACCGTTATAAGGATTGATCTAATTTTATTCCATATATTTTCACGTGTAAAAACTACGAGAAGGTATCATTAAAAGCAAAAGTTTCTTTAATGTGTTATTATAATATTTTATTATTCTGTACAAGTAAAAATGTATTGTATCGAAAATAAGTGCTTGTATAACATAATACGATGATAAACTTATATTGATAATTATATTATATTATTATTATATAGTACTTACACAATAAAACAATGAAATGTATCATTTCATTCATGATTTTTTTCAAACTAGAATAAAACTCTAACTGTTTGTTATATAACAAAATAATCAATTAAAAAACTTTAAAAATTTTTTTCGTTTTGAATGCACAATATCTGTTCAAAAACTGATATATCATAAATTATTAGAAACTATGTATTAGTAACTAAGGTACTATTAACAACTGTAGAATTCTATCTTTCAAGCCAACATATTTATAATTAACAAATTAATAAATCTCAATAAATTTTCCAAATTTATTAGTTATATTTTAAATACATAATTGTTAAAGTTATTTTAACTACAGGAAGGTATTATTAAAAGCAAAAATTTCTTTAATATGTTATTATTTTTTACAAGTAAAAATGTATTGTTATAAATTTGTGTTAATAAATATATTTAGTACTTACTCAATAAACACACGGAATCTATCATTTCATTCATATATTTTTTTTAACTAGAATAAAGCTCTATTGTTTGTTGTATAACAAAATAATCAATTAATAATACTTTAAACTTTCTATTTTGAAGGCGCAATATCTGTTAAATAACTGATATATTATGAATTATTAGAAACTATATATTAGTAACTAAGTTACTATTAATAACGGTTAATTCTATTTTTTAAGCTAACATTTTTATAATAAATTAATAATGCTTAATAAGTTGTCCAAATTTATTAGATATATTTTAAATACATAATTATTAATATTGTTTAAATTTAGATAATTTCTGGAGTTATTTTTCGAAATTATATGAAGAAATACTACGAAATAATTTTTAATTAAAAATTGAATTCTTTTGATCAATTAAAAATTACAATGTAATTGAATAGTTTGTATCAATATTTTAAATATATTTAAATACATTTTTAAATACAATTGTTAAAGTTATTACAATTTAGATAATTTCTGAAGTTATTTCACGAGATTGTATGAAAAAATACTACGAAATTGTTTTTAGTTATCAATTGAATTCTTTTGATGAATTAAAAATTATAATATAATTGTATTTAACGTGCTTTTAAATTGTTTATACATTTTGTCCTAAAATCTTTTTCATTATGGTTTTATAATATTAATCTATTATGAATCATTAAAATAGTAATTTTTTAAAAACTAATTTTTATTTATTTAATGAAAGTTCGAAATGCAGAAACTTGGACAAAATATTATTCATTTTTTTTGTAAGGAAGAGCAAGCACTTATACAATAATTTAATATAATTTAAAAGTAATTGAAGTATCTTATCCTTTTACTCATATATATATTAATAATCTTACCATACAGTATCATAATTATTATTATTAAATTTATACTTAATGTCCTACATGGTGAGTATGGAAAAATAGAAAAGAGGGGGAGGTGAGTTCTTAAAATCCGTAGCGGGTTCTGTGCCCGTGTCTCTATAGAACACGCCATATCTATCTCTATCTACTACCTATTTACGGTAATAATTCGTTATTTGAAAGACCTTAAATAGAATATGAACTAATTAAAAACAAACACTTGATATTGATTAGTTGAATGTTATTTGGAAGTTATGTGCATAAAAAAAACATTCAATGTATTTTTTTATAGCATTCAATACTAAGATTCAAGATTTACGTCTTTGAGTTTACAAGTAAAAAAAAAAAAAATTACCTACAATAAACAGGGTTAACCTAAGATCTCTAGATTCCTAGAGGTAATTTCCTTACGTAAGTAAAAATATAAATATTTCAAACTTGCCGAATCCCAAAATAAATTAATGGAATCGCAGATTAGCCTTCTGAACCAGACTGGTATTGGCGATACACTAAGTAATTAGTTAATTGGTATTAGTTTCAGTATTTAAAAAATATAATTTCACATCTAATAAATTATACAAATGTAAGGTAAAGCAATTAACCTTATTCTCTTTAATTAAACCAAGTTAATTTATGGAAAAAACACGGCAAGTAAAGTTAACTTATAAATATATATTTATATAATTATTTAATTATAATTTAAGTAAAATATGTATGTTGCCATTTAAAAAAAAATAAATTGAACTTCTATAAGTTACAAGAGATTATGCTAAAAAGTATTTAGTAGTTGACAAATCAAGAAATACAGGTATATACAATTCAAAAAAAAGAAATTTGTTTATTTATTTTATAATTATTTTTTGAGTAATTCAGTGGCTTATGATAAGCGAATCATTTTGTGAGGCTATTTGAAATTATAGTTAAATAATAAAAGAAATTTTAATTAGAAATAAATACAAAAATATATATTTTTATCATAATCTAAAAGATTGATAGTCAAAAGATTGTTGGAGATGAAAAAACGTTATTATCCAACATTTCGTGATCCTTTTTATCTCATATAATATATATAAATGACTTTCTTCATATTAAGTATCCAAAATATAAAATACGAATGTTATACAAAAATATCAAATAGGAAATTAAAAAATGGGGATAACCTCCCTAATCACCATTTATCTGCCACTGATCTAAGAATGGACATATCATTTTGGTGTAATAAATTATCGTTATTCGTGTTTTTATAACTTTTCATTTCAATTTTCTTTTAGTTATTTATGCTTAAAGTCAGATAGTATAGTTATATAAATAAGTGGGACATAACTAAATACCCCATATAACCCCCCTTGAAAAAATATTTAAAAATTTATGTAAGTGTTAGTTAAATATTATCCGTTTAACATTAAACAGAAGGTAGCTACTCTTTCCAAAAAAAATGTTCTAGCTAAAATTGCTTACTATAAATTGAGGTAATGAAATACATGGCGAGTATTTTAATACTTACTTGATAGCCACTCTTGTATATTCGATTTCTCTTGAAATAATAAGTATGCTAAGAAAATATTTTTTAGTTTTATATACTTCTTGATTTATCAATTATAATAATTTTTTAATTCATCCTTTATATCTTATAAAGCTATCAACTTAATTTTTAATGGAAATATAACATATTTAACTAGCTTATAAAATAAAACATGATCTAATTAAGACAATCATTTTCTATATTAGATTATGAGATTTTTTATTATTTAGCTTGTTAAAATTAGAGTACAAAATATTGAGTGTATATTTCATACTAAATTTGATTTTTATAGTATAAATGTATTCATTTATTGTACTAAATATATTTATAAGTCTTATAAATCATAAAACTTGTAATTAGAATGTAATTGAGGAAATAGGAATTAAAGTTGTTCATGGAATAATTCAACTATTCCTTCCAAAAATTAAACAATATCTACAAATTTATATCGAAGCCTTTTTTATGATAGTGATTTTGATTACTGTTAGATGTCATCTATACTTGTCACCACTATGTCATGTCTTCATCCCTGTGATGATCTTTCTTTATAAATGCTTAATAAACGACTTTTATGTACCAAAAAAAAAAAAAAAACTAACATTAAAAATGTAAATATATTAGTAAAATACTATAATCGCACTTTAATTTAAATATCTATATTGTGTATAAAAAGATTTTTGAAAATCAAACTTTGTAGTTATACTTCAAAACACCATTAAAAGTTCTAGAAAAAAATGCGATTTATAAAAAATGTTTGTAGTACTTTTAATCATAAAAAAATAGAAATTTTTTGTTTCAAATATGTGATGATATTGGAAAAATGGATTCGCGATAAAAAAAAAAACTCAATATCAAGCTTCGTGATTTTATTTTGGAGTCGATGGGACAACTAAAACCATATCTTCTTGACGATGTTTATTTTTATTTTATTTTATTTACAAAGTTGAGAAACTTTTTTAACTAGGATATATTAATATTTTTTTCAATTTTTCTAACTACTGGCGGACTAATTTTAATTGTTTGCCTTGTAGTTAAACTCTATAATTATAATTTGTCATTAAATTGTTATTTTTTTTATTTATTATAGTACCTACTAGATATTTTTTCTAGTATCTCTGTTAGTTATTATTGTTGAATTTTTAGTGGTTTTTGTGGTAAGTAAATATGATATTTATGTAAATTATTAGGTATCGTTATGGTATTGTTTTGCTTTTTCTCATTCCCATAACTGAAATTGAAGCCTTGCT